TTTTAATCCTTTTCTATTTTTTATTCTAAATATTATGCAATATTTTTTTATTCTATTATCATGGCCAAGTTTGTAAAAATATATAATATAGTAGCACAAATTCAAAAAAAATCAAAGTATTAGTATTTGTAATGCATCAACTCAATTTATTACAAAAAATACCATTAAAATTGATTAAAATAGAAGATGTGTAGATGAATGAAGCTACTTCAATATCTACATGTCTACAAATAACTTCTCATATGGTAGAACATCTTACAAGCATTACCACCTATATTAAATAAAATATTTTCTTACTTAAATTTTTTGATGGTACAAGATCAAAGTTGTGAGGATTTATCAATCAATTATAATTAGTAATTGAGCTTCAATATCAAAACTACTCAATTTTAAGATCAAAGATTAGGTTCATCAAAAAAAAAATGCTTTATTATAGTTTTTATCCTTCCTAAAATAATATGATTCATTATTGAATAATTTGGAATTTTTTTAGATAAAATTTAATCCATATTTAGAAAGCATGATGTAATTTGTGTTGCAACTAATAAGATTATGATCTTATGCTAAATAAATTATATTGTATTATTATATACTTCATAATTTTAACAAACTAAAAACTAATATCTAGTAGGATTATTCTTCATTTATTTACCAATTTTTTTATGAATTATAATATGACATAATGATTTGATGATGAACTTACTTAACATTCAAACATTAAGTTCAGTAATTGAATTTTCTATGAAGAGTGATAATCAAATTTTTTAATTCAAAACTAAGAATTAAACAAGTATATCATAATACCTTTATAACCATACTCCTAATTGTCAAAATACAAAAAAAATCACGCAATTTGATTCATTTTAAAAATATATAAAACATAAGCAACATATTTATTTTGTATTTCATAAACTTAGAAATGAAAGATTCTATGCTAGGTTAAAAAAATGAATAGTTTATATAATTTAAGTCAATTTTTTATGGTGTTATAATGGATCTAATAAAAATATAAACTACCATGGATTTGAAAAAAATATCAAAAATAATAAATAATTTTTAATCTTTTTTTATATTTTTAAAATTATTATGAGATTTATTTTAAGAACTTCTTTTTATTTATAATTTTACTTACACATTTGACTTATAAAAAAAACTTACTTAAATTAAAGAAATTATAAAGTATTTCAAGTTTTTTAACAATATTTATTACAAAACTAATATTATACTAAATTTATTTATTGAAATGTTTTTTTAAAAAAAATGGATGAACCAAATTTTACTTTAGGTGTAATGTTGTCAAAAAAATAAATAAAGCAAAAACTTCATTTCATAGTTTTTTATTTAAGAATTGTTTTAGAAATCAAAAATAAATTATGAAATCCACAAAAATATCTTCTTACAATTATAGATTCATTTCAAGAAAGATGTTATCATTTGAAAATAGCTTTAATTCTAATGATGGTATATTTTGATGATAAGAATCTTAAGTATTTTATATCAACATATATCTTGAATTGTTGCCAAATCCATTAGAACATATTTTTATCTAAAATCATATTTGATATTATTAATTGGTCAAAAAAAGAATCATAAGATACTTTATATAGATATTTTTTTTCTTATACCAAAGTACAAGAAGCAACTTATGATCAATAAAAATAATTCTTTTGAAACTAGAGAAATTTCACGTTTGAGTTATATAAATCAACAATAATAGTTGATTAAATATTTCTTAATCATGATTATTTAAATATTTCCTTTGACCTTCTTATATATAGCATTAAAAAAAATTCTTTTGAGTATCATCATACTTCTAAGTTTGAATCTAAGAATAAAATTTTCTATTTTATAGGATGCATTTATATATATATATATATATATATATATATCTTAAAAAGTGAATCACAATTATTTGATCTTCTAACTTATCATGATTTCTCTACAACAAGATATTTTGGATATTTTAACACTTTGAAGTTAATTTCAAAAAAAAATTAATTGCTTCAAATAAAAAAATAATAATCAATTTTATGCAATCATATGATATTTGTTTAAGGTCAAAGACTCATTGTCATTGATCTTATAGACTTTATCCATATCAAAAAAATCATAATCATTTGTTTCTATTGATTTTATTAGCAATCTTTTAATTTCAAGTTCTTATGATTCTATATTTTGATACTAGATTGCTTAAATAATGTGGTGCATTTTGTATCATGTACAAAAACTATCACATCAACAAAAACCACTATGTTTTTTCTTGACAATATCTTTTGCTATCATGGATTCTCAAAAGATATAATATCAAAGAAAGAGTTTTAATATTTTATCTTAATTTTAGAGAATTCTATATAAAATGTTGAAGGTCAACATAAAACTATTGCCAACCTTATATTCTTAAATTAATAGACAAACTAAGCAAGTAAATCAAGTATTGGAGTAGTATTTGCAATATATTATTATCTATCATCAAGATAATTGGACAAATTTTTCATGATTTGGAGAGTTTATTTACAATGATAAATATATTTTTTTAGTAAATAATTACCATTATGTGCTAATTATGGTTATTATTTGTAATTTTATATTTTTAACTTTTTAAAAGTTAATAATCTTATAATAAAAGATATGGCAATTTTTTTTATTAATGTTATGTACAACAATAAAGATACAATCAAATGAAGCTCAAAAATAACAAAAGATCAACACAAATTTTTATTTAAAAGAATAATCTCAATTCCAAGTTGATAATAAAATGTGATACTCTATTGTAATATCAAAACAAATTGTCATTGTAATAAATTGGATTTTTATAGACTTAGTCTATTTTCTAGTCGTAAACAAATTAACTACATTGCATCTTCAATACATCTAACAAAGTCATTAAAAATTAAATCTATTTTTTATGTATTTCTTTATAATCTAATTAGATGGTGGATATACCAAGAAGAATACAATTATGATGTCTATTACTAGAAGTCAACAACAATTAAGAGTTTTAATTGAAAAAAGTCTTGGATTTAAAGCAATGCCAAAATGATTTAGAATATCTTGTATATTAGTATTAATATGATATTAATGAATACAAATGGTAGCCATGTGAAAATTTAGCAAATATGTTTGAACTTTTATATGTTTTTTTTTTATTAAGTATATCCATTAAAACCAAAGACTAACCATTCACAATAAAATGCTATAAATGAAGGAGAAACAAGTTTAAAGATTAATTTGTAGAATTTCTTTGCAAATATAGAATACCAATAGTTAGCAAATTCATCTCAATAGTTGTCTTTTTGCAGAATTTCTAAATGTTGCACTTAAATTGTTCAAACCTAAAAAATATTGCAATTTTAATGAAGATTCTTAGAAAAAACATATTTTTTAAAAAATAGATAGTAAGATATAATATGTTTGTTACTAAGATCTTAAAAAAGACTAATGATGCATGATGACACTATTAGAGGTGGTACTATATGTGATAGAATGCAAAATTTATTATTTGAAGTTGGTTATAAAACCCTCAAAATGATCAAATAATTAGGTGGTCTTTTTGCTTTGGTATGGAATGTTATCAATGGTTGAAGAGACATATTGATAACCTTCATGCAAAAGAAAGATTAGAGTTTGTTGTTAACACCATTTGACAAATGTTGGACTTCATCAACTTATGAAGCAATTTGATAGTTTTTGTAGAAGTTATTGTCTAAAATAAAAATATATATCACAAATATCTATAATTACTAATATATTTAATTGGATAAGTAAAATTAGGTAGAAATTGATAAAAGTAGATTAAATTATTAATATCTTGTTACAAAGCTTCTTAGAAGTTTCATAGATGAAGATTTGACTCTACATTTGTATGATAGGTAGTTTAAAAACTTGGTCAACCAATTGGCCATATATTGCACATTAAACTTATACTATACATCAAATACAAGTTATACATGTATCATTTGATCTATAAGGTATTGTTATGTAGCTCTGTAATAAGATAGTATAAATTGAGGCAAGAATGAGATCTTCTTTACTATTGTCAATGTTTTTTGTGCCTCCAGTCTAGTTTTAAGAATCTTCAATCTTATTGTCTTTGATAATAGTCATTGTAGTTTCTTCTAAAACATACATATTTTATTTTTTGTTTTAGCTACCTGATTTTAATATATGTCTTACTTATTTATTTGCAACTTTAAAGTTCTTGTTTTTGGCAATTGTTTTTCAAACCTTTGTATATTTTTTATTGTCTTCAATAATTGATGTTATTTTATAATTTGACCTATTCTAAATAAATTTTACTAATTTTTATTTTATTTTATAGTTTATTATTATTAATTTGTGTTGTGTTAAGTGTTTTGAAATTTATGTTATATATCTCACAAATAAAATCCAACTTTTTTCAATATATTACTTGCTTACCAAACAATGTCTTAAAATTGTTATTAATTTTTAAATTTTTTTGAATTGCTTCATTATTTGCATTTTTTTCATACCTTCAAAATATTTCACTTAAACTACTTAGTTCAAATATGTACAAAACAAATATTTGTGCTAAGTTTTAGTTCCACATATGACCAACTTGAAGAAAGTTAACAAGAATAGTTATTAATTTTATTTTTGTAGACATAGTTATCTTCCAAATAAAACAAGTTCAATGTATGTTTTAGTAGTGCTAAACTGATACTCCTTTTTGTCATATATATGTGTGTATATATATATATATATATTCACCTCAGACATCATTAGCTAAAATGGGGTGACAAATATCATTACCTACACGAGAAAAAACACTACTGACTATGACATAATGATTGTTTTGACAACTGTCATTCACTCAGTAAAAAGTCCTTTCTAAAACTCATAGATTTAATTGATAGCTTCATAAATTACAACCGAGTTTCAACCTACTCTTAGTCTTACAGCAATGCAACTGGGTATTAAAGCTAATTGACATGTAATCAACTCAATAACCACATATCAATAAGGATCACCTAAAGAAATTCTAAAGAAACCGAGATATATAGCAGTGAAATTGAATGTGCAAGAGCACACATTACCTTTTTACAAAGAATACAACACAAGTACACTCGATGCTAGCGAACGCTTTGGAACAAGCATAGCGTATTGTAAGAACCTACAAACCCAGCTGCTAAATAAAGTTGTTGCCTAATCCTTATATTTGATGAGAAAATAATTCAATTTTGTCAATGATCTACAGTAAACCAAAACGTACTAAAGCTAGATGTCGCTCACGTCACCAGAACCTGCAGGCACTGTCGCAGTGTGCAATCTATCGTTTTAATGAGCAGGAGGTTTATTGAGAATCAATCTCTCATACATTTCAAGGAGGTCCTTCTTTGAAGGGTTTCGAGTGGATAGCACTTCGGCACCAAACCCAGCTTCTGTCATCTTCTGCTTCAGCTTTGCAATAGTCAACTTCCGGTAGTTAGTAGTTTCAACTATCTCGCTAGAGGTCGCTGCACTGCCACCTTCATCACCCTCATGCAAGTTACTACCGTTGTCGAAATGATGATCCATCTTGTTCCTCTTGAAGGCACTGCTGTCATTGTCAAAATCCGGTGCGGAAGTCTCGAATCCTGGTTCATATACATCATTAGTAAATGAAAATAGCATGCAGACCGAAAACAAACATAAAACCTCATATCAGCTCCAATCAAAATGAAACCAAACATACGATACTAAGAGAAACGTTGCGAGATAGCAAAAACACACCTTCATCTTGGAAGGGTCTTTTGCTACGAGAGGGGCCCATTGGGGACTTGCCAGGAGGTGTGTCCGTAAAACCCCGGACTCTGGTTTCCAAAGCTGTTTCGTGGTTGCGCACTGCTGTAAGTTGTCCCTGCAGATTATCAATCTGGCCCTGCATATGTTGAATCTGTACTGAAAGAGACTCGGCTCTTTGGCTTGCCTCAGCTTTAGCAGCTCTTTCACTGGCCAACAACTGCTCAAAAGCCTCCACTGTCTTCGCACGCTGCTCACGTGAAGAAGATAGCAAATCTTCCATTTCCTTCTCTCTTTCTTCATGCTGGATTTCCAATGCAGCGACCCTAGAGAATGCCTCTTGCTGCATATGCCTGGTCTCTTCAAGGTTCTAAAAATACCCATTGCAATAAGCATTGCAAAAACTCAGTGAGCGTAGAAGCCATATATAGACCGTATATGATAATACTCAAGTTGGCAGTGACTACCTACAAGCAAATCATTTAGCCTCAACAACACAAGTTACACTAAAAACATGAATAAATGGATGCACAGCACGTAACAAAAACAGCGAACACATGTAATTGGTACCTGGACTAATTCATCCCTTTCCAGTTCTAGGACTTGACACCGCCGTTGAATACGCTCAACTTCTGTCATTCTCTCTGCAGCCAGTTTCTGTGTCTCTAACTTCTCTCTCCCTTCAACGACTGCTTCGGCACGGGACTTTTCCGCAGCTTCAATTGCACGCTTTGCATCACGTTCTGCTATTTTCTTCATGTGCTCTGCTTCTTCCATCCTCCTGATGCATTCATTCATGCGTTGTTCCGCATGTGACTTGTCTTCTTCGGCCTTCTCTAGGTCTCTTCTAAGAGAAATAGACTGTGACTTTGTGCCTTCTAATTCATGTTGTACACGCTTTAGCTCCGACCGTAGGTTTATAACCTCTTCAGACTGGTCAGATGTTTTGAATTCAAGCTCCTGCAAAGTACGCAAATCCACTCTATTGTCAAAAGTCTCCAGAACTCAACACGATAGTTCTCAAATTCCACCAAGAATAACCTAATTTATAGTTGCTTACACTTTCATATAATCAATGGGAATAACAAAAAGCTCAGGGTGCATTACATGCAAGCGGGTATTCAGACCACTGATGCGGAACTCCCCTTGCTCCAATTTCGCCTGCAATTCCTTCACTTCATGCTCCTGCGAAAAAAAAGCTTCCCTTGTTTCAGTAAATGATTTCCAGCCAAGTAGAGGATATTCTAGAACTTGTATGCATGAATTTCATTTTACCTCCAGGTCATCTAGTTCAATGGAAATGGAAATGAACGGAGGGTTATACCTTTTCAGATATTTTCGCAGTATATTCAGCGCGCATTGAATCTTCGCGCAGTTGAGCTTGCTTCAATGCTCGCTCCTTTTGCGCGGTTGTCTTCTCAACAGCAGCCTTAGTATCAGCAGCAACCGTCTCATACTTTCGCTGCCATTCCGCAGCTTCTGCCTTCACTGACTCTGACTGCTCTCTCAAAGCTGACAACCTTGCCTCCGCGGTACTAGCCCGATTCTGTAAGTCATATGACCATACCACATAAATAAAACATTTCGAAGCACTGCAGCACTGGAAGATGGATCCCAAAGATACTTAACGTCACTGATAACGATACTTGCGACGAAATGATTTTTTTTTTTTCACCTGGAGAGATGCAACCTCAGAGTTCAGTCTATCAGTCTCAGCTCGCTGCACAGAAAGGTTCTGCTCATACTTGCTCTGCCAGTCAAAAGCCTCCTTCTTGGCGCTCTCTAGCTGAGTTAAAAGAGTGGCACGCTTCTCCTCAAGGGAAGTAACTTTCTTCTGTACGTTAGCATATTGAGCAGCTGCATTCTCAGAAGCTCTATTATAATCATTCATGATATTTTCATATCGCTTCTTCCAGTCTTGAGCATCGCGTTGAGCAGCTTCAGTCTGTTTAGCTGAGAAAGCCAAACGTTCTCCCATTGATCGCCCTTTCAATACAAGGTTTTGATACTCTGTTGCTGCTTTATCACTTGCTCGCTTCACAAGGTCGTGTATGGGACCAGCTAAACTGGAATCCAACAGAAACTATGTCAAATCCACGCAGAGAAGAAGATAAGTTCTAACCTGATAATATCGTCGCTAGACCGATATTAACTGAGTAAATATGCGCAAGATCCTAATTTAAATGTGAGACGAAACTAATCCTGGATTTCATCAGAAAGTCTTACTCGCGTAATCGCATGGAACAAAAGGGTATTAGACCACGATCTAAAAAGGTAAAAAATTATCAACGACACGTAGTGTCACTATTACGGTGACTCATTGCACATGTTAACAATCAAAAGAAGAAATAATAATAATAATAATAATAATAATAATAATAATAATAATAATAATAATAATAATAATAATAATAATAATAATAATAACAATGATAAAATCAAACATTGTAAATTATACCTTTTCTGCATGAACTGGACAAGTTTCTGATACTTGACAGAACCAGATACTTGAGCTACATACTCAGCCACCATTCCGTCCAAAACCTGCAAAAGAAAAAGTTCATATTATTATGAACCTCATTTTTGAAAATGATGAGAGACAACTTCAAGATGAACAAAAATAAAATAAAATAAAATAAAAATGAAAATAAAAATAAAAAAAACCTGAAGAAGGGGTAGCAATCACCACTACACCTTGATAACAGACTCAAATGTTGCGTCAGGAGCATTGCAAGCACTTCGAAGCTTCTCTTCCATAGTCCCCACTGCTCTTAAACACTTAAGCTCAGCTTCCATAGACGATTTCCGCTTAAACTCCTGCAAAACATCCCACGAAATTAATGAAGTGTCATTCTAAAGAGAAATTTGAGGTATGGAGAACAGAAAATAAAAATAAAAATAAAAATAAAAAACCTTCAAAAGCTACGGAAGGTCGATCTAAAAATGCACAAGCATTGGACAATAGATCCATTTTGATCATGAGAATGTACCTCAAATTGTCTTCTAAGAGTTGCGTGCAATTGCTTCTCGTAATTTCTTCGAACAGGTCCATTTCCAACAGCCTCGGAGTTGTAAACAGAAAATGCGGCTTGAACAGCTTCTTCTTGTGCTTCTTGAAGAGCAGCCTCCATTTCAGTGATACCAACATTCAAAGGCCAGTCAGCATCTACTAAGCATAGCATGTTGATATCGTGAAGTTCTCGATCTTTTACCCTGTGCGTCTCCCTTAAAGTAGCCAACTAGGAAATATAGAAGCGATATACAAGAAATTTACAACAAAGTGATGATCTCTCACCTCATCATAACTGACATCCTTGTTGAAGACTTGAGTATACTTCTCAACGGCCATATCATGGGCACGTCGGCACTCGTTCTCTTCCACATTCTACTCAGACAACCCAGTCGATACTCAGGAAAATAAATCAACACACAACCGCCCAATCCTAGCTTCGTGCAACTCCTTGTAGTCTAGGCAATTCTTAACTAAGCCTAACCAAGCACAGTGATGCTTTAATAAACAAGCGAGAACAGGAAGCATGTGAATGAATAAAGACAGTAGATTAGTATACTGAAAAAACTGATCCACGACATTTTTTAAAACCATAAGGACTAACCTGCCAAGAAGTTGCTATGGTGGGAACAGCACCAGCATTAATCGCATCCAAAAAGGATTGTGTTAGCCCAGCAAACATGGGTCCAGTCATCACAAGAGAGCCGAGCTGCTTTGGTCTCGTTCTTTCAAATATGTATTTCGTCAAAGCATCTAGTCCTGCTCTGAACTCAGGCCGCATTTTCTCCATCTGTACGACCAGCACCATAAGAAAAACTGCTGCTACATTACAGCATTAACTTGAAATCACAAAGTCTCAAGAGTTCCTAAAAAGATTAATATGGTACCCTTTACAGACATCAGGAAAGTGTAGTCAAGCTCACATTTATTTGGTCAAGTTTCTGCAGCTCTTTCTCGTCGTTCAAGGGCCTAACAAGTGTAAAACAATCACGCTCAGGAAACAGAGCGCGAATAGAATTTCGTATCTGAAGATATCACCAAGCAACGAATTAATTTTCTTTTACAATGAACACGACTAACTCTGGATTTTTCAAATGGACCATAAAATTAAACGTATTCAGCAGCCGTAGAGGCCTGGGCTTGGGTTTGATTGCAACAGTACAAAGGCTAACAAATATGAATGAACTGAACTAACCTCGTTTTTTGAAGCAATGGCTTTTCCAGATCCAGGAATGGGTTGCAAAGCTGACTCTAAATAATCCCTTGGAGTGATACGACGCCCATCCTCAGTCAAGTCCAAATAGAAATCCTGCGCAGAATACACATGGTTCTCAATTATGTCACTATCAGAAAAACGACAAAAGTAAAGAAATAAATAAATAAATAAATAATCTATAACAGAAAAACCAACAAGTTTATGAACCAAAGACAACTACCACAATGTAAACACAACAATGCATCTTTCTACAGTCGAGAGAAGTGTTTTCATTCAAAGCCATTGCTGACTGTGAGTTATCCATCAGATCCAGAAAACCTAAGATACTAGAAGACAAATATCTCACCCGAAGCAACCATAGAAAAAGAGGAGAAAACTGTCCGATCTCAGAAGCTGAAGCTGCTTGAGAAGATGATGATGCTCGAACTTGGATATGTTTGGTCATCTCCGTCACAAGAGATAATTTGTCTAGTGCTGCCTCATCAATTCCACCCATCTATTGAAGCCAGAGTAATACATCAGGTAAAAATTGCATGAACCTAAACAAAAGCTTCTGAAAATTATATCAGAGTCCCTAACATGCTGATGCTATGTGATTCCGCCAGAATTTGTAGAAGATCGTCCAGGTTATGTATGAGAAGGTACTTGAACAAATATAGAAAACAACGGAAATCACTGAGGAAAAATATGATCACTGTGCAAAGGACTTACCTGATTGTAAACAAACATACTCGACAATAAGACTGCTAAGGAGAATATCTGTGTGCTATATGTTCCCTGTCCAGTGTACACAAGCTCGGCAATGAGTAGAACTCCAAATCAAAAACAAACTTCATGTACAAAACACTCTTCATATGGAAACAAAAAAATATATTAACATAAAAGAAATGCATAGAACCATTTCCAACGAATCGGATCAAGCCAGGAAAGTCAGAAATACTAAAATCGAGTCTAGAAGGAAAATTTTACCGTTTGATCATAAGCATCTATCCCTTCGCTGTCCAGGAGTAACAAGCTGTACTCACTACCATCAGGTGCTGTCCTCTTCAAAGGAGAACTCCACATCCATAAACCTTTTGTACAAGGTCTGTGTGTGGGTGCGACAGTGAAACCACTACTCCGTCCAAGAAGCTGTAAAGAATCAAACAACGCTACGTATTCACTAATAGAAACTACTACAGTATATCAAGATTTACGAACTGAAATACATAAGGATGTGACAGGGTCAAGAAACTGGGAGGGTACTATTTTTATGATCGGATTAAACATAGACATACACAGGAGTACAAAATGCAGCGGTGCCCCTGTTATGTATCAGAGACGACGCGCAAAACAAACCTGATTTAAGATGAAACTCTTCCCCTGCCGAGCACGTCCACACACAGCTACTACACCAAGCGGACCTTTCACCATATGTAGGGCCGCCACCGCTTCAGGATCCATCTTAAACTTCCCTCTCTCATCACAGTACACCAACCTTAGAGGGCGAGCTGGACCACCTGCGCCACTCATGGTGGGGGTTGCATATTGCGGCCGCTTCATTTGTATAACAACTGGTTTTTCAGGCTCCGGTTCAGGCTCATCGAGCTTGGGCGGTTTTTGGGGAGTCCGAAAACCAAATCTGGACATCATCTTGCTAGCTTAACCAATTCTCCTGTACTAACAGTGGATGGAGTTTGATGAGCCCCTCTCAAAACTCCACCCGATTCAGTGAGTTGAGCTCCTGTATTAGATCTTTCATTAACCTGCACAAGAAAATATCATTTTAGAAGTAAATGACCAAAACCACAGACTATGTGACGGCAAGTAACAGCATCAGCTAAGCTTGAACACATTTGATCAATAAGTGAAGACGCGTAACAAATGCTGCTGGACCTGAAAGATTCTCTGAAATGGATACCAAGTAGTTGTCTACTGCAGACAACAACTGTGATACTAGATGACAGTGACAACAACCCCTTCATCACTAACAAAATTTTAAATACAAACAGGAGAGTTCGATCACTTCGCAGAAAAGCCGTAATCCGTCGAAGAAAGGCGTGAGGCGAGATTCAAATACTCGAATTTAAGGCGTGATAATAACTCAAGCATGAGTTTGCATCACAAAAAAGACACAAAAGTTTGCTCTACTCCGCATTTTGAACTTGGCAATATATTTTGTTCAATTTAACATTGTGAGTAATATTCTTGACGATGCTGATTAGGGAAAAATCATTATTACATGTCGAGAAAGAAAAAAAAAGAATTAACCCCACTTCACCAGCTCCACCGCTTCATGCCTACTCAGCATTTGAGAGGACGGCAAAACGCTAGAGGAAATAATCAATGTATGCAACAACAGCATTAAGCCTTCATCTGAAACGTTACCTTGTCTTTCGATCCCAAATCTGCATTGTGAGAAGACAAGACCTTAAAAACACGAAATAAATGAACTCTGGGATTCATGAACCTCGCCCCAAGCTAACCTACGAACGTACATTCCATCAAAAGGAGCTCCAAAGGAACCAAGAAAAATTAAGGCAATTCATCACGATCAAATGCATGTGCATGAACAACCCTGGGGAAACCCTCTCTCGAAGGCAAAGTACTCGAACCGACCTAAAACCTCCGTTACACCCTCAAACTAAACCATCCGAAAAAGGACAAAAAATCCCTTGTTAATGACTAGCTCTATAACACGTTTCTCTTCGTACTAAAAACACAAACAGAAATTTGTCAACGGCAACAAAAGCAGCTGAACACAGACGCTCTTCCCATGCAGCTGCTAGAGTACCATTGAAAATCCATTCTAATGTCAACACAAGACACAATAATATTGCGCTCGATATTTATGATAATTTTAAAACCCCACAGCTCAACTCACCTTCTCAAATTTTCCTGTTAACAAACCAAGCTCCGAGGTACTAGCTCCGAGACAGTCCTCGTAACTTCGAAGCTCCAAAGCAATCCAACGCGGACCTTAGCGGGACAAAGAAGAAAATAGCAAGGTGGAGTTCGGTCGTTGGAAACCCTACAACGGACGATTAATGAGAAGCTATCGAAGAAAACACGTTCAACGAACGATCAATGGAAGCAGGCAGTGTAGGCAAGAGACATGGGGGGAGCTGGCATCGAGAGCCTCCGAAATTGGCGAAGCCAGAACGCACGGGAAAGAGACTCGTGGCCGTCGATTGGGAAAAGACATAATCGACGGGCAATATCTCCCGGAATCGCAGGGACGGCATCCGGCTGCCTTTGAAATTCCTTCAGTAATTCGACGCTACGGGAACAGGTCGCGGGCAACGGCTTCGACCGGTTCCCGCGCGTTCTCGATGTCAGCTCCATAGTAATAGGTGTCTATTGTTCACTTCACGTCAAATTATATTAACTAATGCCGCTTTTCATGTTACTTTTTTCACTCAAAAGTAACAGCATGCGTACCGAGAATTACAACATCCAAACTGATTGCTTAGATATATGGACAGTATTTTTTTTGTTTCGTAAAATGAAATAAATCATGCGATGCTCAGCCATTGTGAATGGCAAAAAAATTACACAGAGTTGAAATACTTGTAGATAAAGATTTCATTATCTGCAATTGTTTTAGCAAATTAACTGTACATACCTTTGATTTAGTGTACATGATGCTGAATTGTGCATCATCACCAAGGCTGTCTCTATCAATCCCTCTTTGTTTGTTTGTTTGTATGTGCGTAAACTCTTCTAATAAATCTTCACATATGAGATAATCCCTAATGCTGAAAAGATTGACCTCCTGTTTAGTTCAAAAATCATCATCTCTGAGATGCACATCTACACCACTAAGAGCCACCATCGTGTGCAAAACCTCATCAGTGCCATGTATAGGCTGTGTTAGAAGTCCTGTATTTTCAACACCTGAAGGAAAAACTATCTGGCGTAGCGGGTATGGTTGAATTCCAGAGATCTGAGGCAGCTAACAGAATTGAAAGGAGCAGATGCTGGGCGGAGAAGAGCAAGACATGAACGCAAGTTGAAAACTGCTTTTCATACAATTTGCTGGAAATGTTAATCAAAGCTTAACACTCTTCAAATTTTACTTCCACGTGTCAATCTAACATTCAAGCTTCTCATACAAACTCAGTGTCGTCAGTCTCGTTCAGGTGCTCTACCATGACTAACCGGAATCAAGGATGAGCACCACATAGTACCTCAGAACACCGACGTTTACTCAACCATAAGACTAGTACAATTTACGAAGTGCCACATTAATTGCATTGCGCAACACCTTATTGACGACTGATTTGGCTTTACCATGCATAGGAAGGCGAGAGCCAGAGACACTAGCGAAATCCTATGACGACACAAAGACATACACAGCCAGAGTGAGAGAGCATGCAAGAGAGAGCAGGAGAATGAAGAGCTACAGCCGGAAAGCGGACACAGCCGGTTTTGTTTCAGTATCCCTGCCCGTTGTTAAGCTGCCCGGTCCAATCCACAGCGCACTCCGTTCCCAGCAGGTGTGGCTTCATCCTGGCCATCGAACTTCCGTTGCCAAGAATCGACGGTGCCCATTCTCTCTCAGGCCTAAAAAGTTCCAGAATAGTTGAACAAAGTATAATAGGACTGACTAAGGCCATTTGGGACATTTGGTCAAGTATAGCTTCAGATTATTTTTCTTAGTAAAGTTTGGTTTTCTCATTATGTTCTATTTGGTCCTATTCTCTTTTATTCAGTCATGTCTTTCATGTTCGATTCTGTTTACTTAATTTCAGTTTTATTCTAGTATGTTTGGTCTTATATTGTATTGAGATCTTTGTTGTTATGGATTTGATAAGATTTTAGACTTTAAAATATCTAGTTTTATTTTATTGATATTAGAGCGAGTATTAGTCTGTTCTTTGGTAGTATGTTGATAGCCACTTTTAGTTGGAAGTCAATTGTTGTGATCACATTAGATACTATTTTGGAGCTACAATGAACTACTTTAAGAAGTCAGCTGGAAGAAAAGAAGGCATTACAATAACAAAGTGTAATAAATAAATTGTTGCATGGGAGATATAGTGGAGCAATTTCAGACGGACACTCAAATACAACACCCTCTAGGCCAGATAGCTACCATGCAAGAGCAAATAGAAGCTTCTAAGAGAAGGAAGTTGACATCTGCTAGGCTAAAATTGAGGAAGTCCGATACATACTCAAGGACCTTAGGATAAGAAGATATATGTTAATAGCTCTTCAACATGCAATAGTACTTATAATTATCTAAAGCAAAAACCAATGAAGGAATTACATATGATTCTAATTATTTGAGAGTTGTAACAGCCATTTGGTAGCGATATTAAGCTCAAAGCTATGGAACTCAAAACAAATTTGGTTATTGAGAGGAGTTTGAAACTGGGCTTAGGAATCAATTTTGGTCCATGAATGCAAAGAAGTTAGCATACAATTACTTAGCTAATCTTACACAATCTACGTTAGTGTAAAATTATATTTCTTGATTTAAGTTTTTATATCTTTAAATTGACAACATTTTAGAGGCAGAGATAATGGATCAATTTGTACAAGAATTGAAACTTGTGGTTCAATAAAAAGTAGAATTGAAACAAGACTAGTTTATTTTAAGAATTTAAGAGTCTTTTAATTTACAACCACGTAAAACATCATCATAAAATAGGACAAATTAGATAAAAAAAAACTGAACAAAATTAAATAAAATAGGTTATAAAAGACAAATTTATGCAAATAAAAATAAAATAAAATAAAATTGAATAAGAAGATGCTAAACCAAACTTTACTAAGAAAAAAGGTCCAAAACCATACCTAATCAAATGTAGAGAAAGCCTTGGTCAATCCAATTTATACTTTTTTCTACTAGCCTAGACTTTCTAAAACGTTATTAGATGATGGACTTTACTTAGGTAACCATCTTAAATTCCTTTAAGAAGGTTCTATGGTAGATCCCACCTAAATAACCACCTAAAGCTCTTTCTAGAATGTTTTATAATGGGTCTTATATAGGCCACTATACAATAGATATTAGTTTGTTTTTGTAAGATATTGATAAAATAAACTAATAGTCCATAGAATAGTCAATTTAGGAGGATAGATGATTGATTCAATTATTAAAAGCAGTTATTATAGGATTATGATTAGAATCTAGAAATCAATAGCAATTATATAAGAATTGTAGAAGTTTATTGGGAGGGCCAAATTGTGATAGTCATGAGTCAAGGTTAAGCTTGGTGCTACCTCTTTGCTTTTTTTTGTTTTCTTTGTTGTTAAAGAGTAATGGATAGTTTTTGAATACTGAAAAGTGAATCTGTGGAATAAATCAGAGATTGATTTATGAGTTATTGATTATGTAATTGGAGTATTATCTGATTGAATTATATAAGAAGTTATTAGAAGATTGATTATGGATGGAAGATTATGATTGTTGTTTATTGAGAGTTGTGTATGTACTGAGAAAGGAAATTGGTGATTACAGAAATTTTGTGAATTTAGATTGGTTGGAGTGAAGTCTGTTATTATTGGTGTTGGATGGAATTTATGAGTTTTGAGTAGTCTTTTAAGAGTACAAGGTTGCACACTGTTGTTATCTGTTGATGAAGGAGTATTGTTCCTGGAAGCAAGCATTGTAGTGTTTCTTGGTGTTTTAGTGGTTCGGAATATAGTTAATTGAGTAATCCTAACTTGTAAGCTCATGCGCTTAGTCTTTCCCTGAGTTCGAATTCTACTGTACAAGTTTATTCTAAAAGAAATTTGTAGAATAAGTAAAATGACAATTACATTTTGGCACCGCTGCCGGAGAATGACAATAGCATTGAGTGTTAGCAATTAATTATCGGATGAGTAGCAGGGAAATAAGAAGCAAATTTATTAGTATATAATGAAAGATTATGGTTATTAAGAATGAGAACATCGCAGTAAAAAAAACACGCCAGTCGAAAGAAAGACAAGAGAGAGCGCAAGCAAGAGAATCGTTGCAAAACGAGCAAGAATGCAAGTTAAAAAGGAAGCGTCAAAAAAGTTGGCTTAAGCCATGGTTGTATGTCTGTCAACATATCCGAGCATACCCAGAAGCTGACCGAACTCTAATATTTCAGACATATATACCATTAAGAAAATTACCAAGAACACTCGTAGGAAATTTTATCAACAATCCAGCGTATCTCTTGAACTTGATAACTGCAAGTGGAAGAAAAACAGAAGAACTGGGTACTCCATTGGATACCTTCCCAATAGCGAAAACTGTCGATTCTATAAAAATTAATTCCATAGAATGGCATAAATTGCTTACCAATAAGGGCCAATTCAACGTATTTCAAAATCCATCCTTTTCACCTCCAATTCAACTAATAAACTTATTCGAGGATAATAATAGTAAATTGAGGAGGTTGGAAAGTCTGAAAAAGATAATTGGAGAAGAGAGTGGTAATTTTAATAAGAGATTAAGCGGCACATTGTCCTCTTTAATGGCGACGGGTGGTCCAGCAATTCTAATAGTAGTACAAATGGGTGACGTGAGCAATCGTACAACAAGCGTGGCTCTATTACCTACTTTTTGGGACTTTTTGGGTGCGGATCCCGATCAACATTTGTCTCAGTTTTTGACAGCATGTGTAGCCAATAATGGAAGAACCAAAGATATTTGGTTACGATGGTTGCCAACAACCTTAAAAGACATGGCATTTGAATGGTACAACTGCCAACCAATGGATCAATTTCTGAATTGGGAAGCATTGAGGAATGCATTTTAACCCATTTTTGGCCAATTGGTTTTGAGGACTGCCTTCGAGAGAGGTTAATAAATAGCAAAATGATCGTAGAAGAGGTAGTGGAATTATACTATGGCTGAGTGGCTAATATACTCAGTAAGTGGCCGAATCACTAAATGCTGGAGGTATTTAACTTATCCATATTAATCAATGGTTTGCAACCACCAGAGTTAAAAATTTTTGTGAATGAAGCTCAATCCGTTACAGTGTCTGCATTCCTTAATAGAGCCAAGGTTTGGGAGGAATGCCATTATGATCAGTTTTTAACTGCGAGAGCTACGATGATTCCTGTTCAAGGCAGTTATCAAAATCTGACTTGGAACGGATCAATGGATGCTTATCCACGGATG